ATTAGGTATGTTAGTGAATTGCATTTGGATTAAAGGGGGAATAAAATGCGTTTTACTTATAAGCTAGGAAGCGGGAAGTACGAAAACCGGACGATTTCATAAAATCTGTGTGCGACCACAGCCCCGGATGTCTTTTCCAACTCGATATCGGTAAATCCTCACGGGAAACTATATAATATCTCTGGTCTGTATGTACCCACAACCGAAAAACCAAACGAGTCGTACATAATTGGTTCAAACGTACGAGAATTTCATTATTTTCTGTATAGGTTAATTGGCCGAACATGGCCATCCCTCGAGGCGAACTTAGATCAGGGATCACAGCGCTCAATACAAACAAGTAAATTTTATATAAAAAAAAAATTACAAACCGAAAATTCAAGCAATGAGAGCAAACCGCGAAAAATAACAAAGCAAAACGACATTTTAACGTTGTAAAAAAATATTACGTATCATATGATATTATATTTTTACGATATATTACTTTTTAAAAAACTAACCGTACTCGTGCCCCTTAAAGGGCAATATCCCAACAGTGTATTCTTGTTTAATTAATAAAACAAGTACCTACTTATATTTAGTTATACTTATTTTACGACCAAAGTAAAAATATTTAAAACAGTTATTTGTCGAATTATTTAATCAGCAAAAGCAGGTTTGAATTTTGCATTTTGAATTCTTTCTCAATGTACCGCATTTCATACGGTTTAAATTGTATAATATTACTGGTTGTATGCGCGTCATAATATGACGGGTTATAGTAGTCATTGAAATATTTTCAAATGGTTAAGTGCTAAATCCGAATGATATAAAACTTTACGGTGAAAACTTTTTTTACACATGAATTCAAACCACACGTGTCAATACGAGTTTTATTTCGTCGTTGTTATCCAATCATAACGAAATATTGATAAACAATTTACATAAGAACTTAGGTAATTTATATAACTGATAAACGATAAAATTGATTGATAGTAGATAAATTATAAGAGATCAGGACTCACCTGTCATGTGCTTTGCCACGGTGACTAAATCTAATAATGTTGATGTTTTCACTCTGGCAGTCGACGATCGACTGAGAGGATGTAAAAGCCCAGATCCGTCTACGTTTATCCATCATGATGTGTCGCTTATCTCTTATCGCTTACACATCGCATTTTATTTTTTATTATTATCCAGTGACGCGGTCACGGCGCAGAGGAAAGTAAAAAATAAAGAGCTCGCGCATCGACCGCAGTATATTACACGATACGACCAATCACGATAAACCTTCCGTTTAACCTGTGTAATTTTACAGCAAATGGTCCGACCTCTTAACAACCTAAACTAATGGACTGATTGTTTTGAAATTTACACGGGGTTGATCTGTATGTTATTAAGATGATAATTTTGTTAAGTCAAAGTCGATCGGACGATTACAACCCGAGTAATATGCAAAAGTATTAGCATAGTTTTTACACGAAACGCCATTTTTTTCAACAATTCAATAACGTAGGTATGATCATATTGTGTTGTACGCGTTGTCACCACCTGTTTGCGACGGCGGCCGTTCGCGGCGAATAAAAAAATAATTTTGTTTGTTTATTTTATCGCCGTATTACTGTAGTATCGTTTTCCAGCAACATCCATAAGCTATATTCATAGCTAAATATCATGTGTACATATACTTAGTCCATAAATCAACCTAACCGTAAATAGTTTTGTAGGTCTGTGGGTTAGGCGTATGGTCTAGCGGTACCCCGCTGTTGTGGCGAAATTGTACGTCTATCTCCCAGAGGGTTCTAAACGAAATAATATGTAATATGGACTTGACATTTTACGCGTAATAATCTTAGGAAAACTGTGTTTAAAGTTATAAAAAAATATGTTTATTTAACTGTATAATGTAACGACTATACAAATAATATATATGTACGATTCTCGCAGCAGTTACAGTTAATAATTCATTCCTTTAAGCATATTATAATGTACACTATACCTGATCTCCCCTGGGAGATTTTTGGTTCGGCGCCCAAACGAGCCGAGTTTTACTCCTCCGTTCCGTTTCCGTGGAAGTCGCCTGAAATACAGCACGTGTACATTTTATCGCTCAACGATCTCGCAATAGTGCACAACAAAGATCCTGAAATATCTTACATAGTACCTTATTATATATTTTCCAGTATTGTTAGCGGAACTGAGGAGGCACGTTCCACGTGTGGCGTTTTATCTAAATTTCTCTGCAGTATAAAAATTCTTTTTTCCTGTTTGACGTCGTATTAGATAACAACAGAGCAGTAGAAAGAGGGGATGGGCGAAGGCCCCATGCGCAATCAACCAAGGGCGTAAATATTTTAAAAAGGCCACGAAAACCGCAGTCCATTAAACCGATTATTTAGCTGGACAAAAAGCAAGGCGAATTGTATTTTAATTATAGATTTGTGTGAAGCGCAGAAGCTGGTTTTACTAAGACGCGGTTTTTTTTCAGAAAACACTTTTGTGGTTTATAGAAATGCTCAAACTTTTTTATTTCGTATCTTTTAATATGTGGAATTGACGCCCAGCGGTACCTTATTCGAAACAATTAATCAAAATTTTTAACAGTTTGCCCCTACAGTTTGCCTAGGATTTTTTTTTTTTATTTTTAGTCGATTTCCATGCAGGGTTTCCTTGACAACGCGGGAGAAAAAAAAAACACGACCAATACTACTCCGGCTCAAAATCGGTTTTCGTTTGCAATGATTTATCGTTGGGATTAGAATATAAAGGTTAAACTCATCCCTCCCAACTGCCCATCTATAACATTGCGTGCCTACCCGTGTAGCAGTATCGATTTTTTCGAAATGTTTACCATAAATTAACGTCCTGTTTCGACGAGTAGGTGTGATGTTGCTGCTCTAGAGGGGGGGGGGGAAGAGACGCGTCGGTCCCGCGATAATATTATTAATCGCGCGTTGTTTTTCAATTTCGGGCCGAAAAACAGAAGAAACTCATCCTATATTATATTATGTAGGACAGGACAGGGTACCGTAACGCTTTATTCATTACATTGGACGAGGTCTGATGAATATTGCCGCTCCGAGAAACGTTCGGCGTTTTATATATTATATTTATCATATTGGTACACTACACCGGGCCGGAGCGGACGTTGTACACCGGAAACTTTTGTTTTAAATCGTACGCTCGGTCGTCGTAAATCTAATCTCGGTTAAGACCGTAATAATAATGGGGAAGCCCGCGCGGTAAACGAAAATCAATTTTCCAAACGGGATTATATTATATTAATCGTGATCAGCCCCCCCTCCCTTCCCTAGCTTTCTCTCTTCGCGCCTGCCTTCATATTCGTAAACATAAATTTGAAACACATTTTGTTATTTTTTTTTTTTTTTTTTTTTTTTAATTCTGTTTTAGTAAAACCGTGAGCTCCATATTACAATATTCGAGTTCCGCCCGTGCAGCAAAGGCCCTTGCCAACATTTAATTCCCTTTTATTTGTTCGTTTAAAAGCGGACATTTTTTTTTTTTTTTTATCCTATAAACAACCGAAAACGATTAAAAGAAATTTGTTTTTTAACAGAACGCTAACGTTTAAGATTTACGTTCTACACCATGGAACATAAATTGCGTGGAGTTTATGTTGAAATCGCAGAGTTTAAACACAAATAACACAATGTCAAGTGAACAGTACATAATTTTTGTTTTTGCTTTTTTTTTTTTTTTAATAACTTTTTCTGAACAGCAATTCGCCATCCAAAATGATTTGCTGTTTAAATTTTGTTTTTTGTGTTTAATTTTTCTATTTCAACTTAAACGTCACGATTTATGTTTACAAACATGCAACTTTACCGTGTCGCCCGTGAACGTTCGACTAGTGATGGAAAAAATGACTCACTTGAATGATTCGAATCATTTAAATCGATCCACTAAAATGGCTCGTTCAAGCCTAGTCCACATTTTGTTGGCAGTTTAGTCAAGTAGCGAGTGGCCAGAAAAATAGAAATAAATGGATCCACTAAATTACATTACAAAACTACTCGACTAAATCGGTCTGTTATCCATACGCGTTTAGTTGCTAAATTACTCGCCACTTGACTAAACTACTAACATAGTGTAAACCAGGCTTTGCTGGTTCATTTGATTCATTGGCCAAACCGAATTAAATTCCAATCGGTGTTATCAATATTATCACGATCTCGTTCGGAACAATAGACCTTTTAAGAGGACGTTACACCCGCAAAAGCCAACTCTGTTTGATTATAATGACGCGGACATGGCGAACTTCCGTTCATCAGGGCCAACTCTGTGCCGTTAGTGTAAATATTGTAGAGTGATCGCTAATGCGAATTAAAGACAAGAACGTTGTCCGCGTCGTGTCGTCGTTTTTGTTTTCGTGATTGCATAAACGAAACTTCACGCCGTTTTTCGCGGGCAATGGTTAATCGTTGTGTACAGACACCCTACCTCCTTAATTTCTCACCTACAACAGTGGTCCAAACGCCGTGCGAAATATGTCTTTGATGTTTCACACACACACACACACACGCGCACACGTATCTCACTTAAAATTATTTAAATTAGACGTTAGACAACGAGGCAGTAAACGCGAGTATAGCCGTCTCCTTTTCATTTTATCCGTGTCGCCGAGGTAATCCGGAATAATGAAAAAAATAAAAGTCAATTTCCGCAGCCTAATACCGAACGTGCCGCGCGTGCCGCTCTTCGGGGGACGAATTTCGAAAATCCCGGGATTCGCGGCGCACCACCGTTCGTCCGCTTCTGTGCGTCGTATGCAAATTGTCAGACTATCGCGGCGCGCGAGCGATTTGGCTGCGGATTGCGCACGGGCGCGTTACAAATGCTCCGTTTTATTATTATAAAGTATAGATAAAATTAAAAATCAAAAAAAATCAAAAACTCAATACAATTTATTTCAGCTCGGGTTTTTAAAAACTTAAATTTATTTTCACCACAATAATAATTTTCGTTAAAAATAACAATTTCGTAAAAATTACATATACAACCACGGGTTTTTTTTTGTTTTTTTTTTTAGAGTGTTTTACGCTTCGTAATACATGTATATAATAATAATATTAATGCATAATATGTAGGTTAGGTTAAATTATTATTACACAAATATTGTACACAAATGTCAAACGTTAAACGTACGAATATTTCAGGGTTTTTTTTTTTTTTTTTAAATCTAAAACTAATAGTGTATAAATATAACGTAGTTACATGCTAGATGTTTTTTTAAAAAAAAAAATTAAAAAAAAAATATATATATATAATTGCCAAGCATTATACATTACGAACAATTTACAATTAATCGCCCGTAACGCATGTTTCTCCGTGATCGAAACGTGCACACACACCTGATGCACAACAATGCGTGTACCGTGCGCATCATTCGAAAATGACAGCGTACACGGGACGGTGTTCCGGTCGGCTGAAATCGTATTGTTAATTTCCGATTTTCCGCACGTATATCACGAAAACCGGGACGAAAAGACCAAATTCGTAAAATATACGAATAAAAAAAAAAAAAAAAAAAAAAAAAAAAAATGATCGACTATAATTTCGAGAACGGTCGGCGAAATATGAAGTTAACAGTAATTAATGACAGCCGCGTATGGCCGTGCGACAACCGCGGACCATATTTCATCATAATTCGCGGCCGATATCAACACGACTGTACCGGTACGCTGCCGTTTTAATTTCGATTCGACAACGCCAAGTATGCGTATGGAGGCATGCAATAGCCCGGTGTAATTTCGATCAAGTTGTTGTCGTACACGATTTTCGTTATCGTCGTCGTCGTTATTCGTATGGCAAAAAAAAAAAAAAAAAAAAAAAAAAAACAACATTTATACAAATCAAAAATCGTATAAAAACCAAATTTTTTTCGTCTGTCGATATTCGAACACAATGTTTTTGCGATAGGGGTAAGGGATAGGGACGTATTCGAACTGTTGGTTACCGAGCTCACGCGTCCGGTCATGTCGAATCGGTTCCCGTTTAATACTTACGTTTATACGATAAACACAAACGCAGGCGTAAAATGGTGCATGTTTAAACGTGCATTGTGCGGGCATTTAACAGTCGGCGGCGTGCCCAGGAATTATCAAAGGGATGGGCAGGGAAGGTGGGATGTAGCGAATAAGAATCGCGAACAAATCACGAATTCGCCTTCTCCGTCCAAACCGACTGCGGAAACTGGTGATTTAAAATCCGGAACCTGAAAAACGACGATTTCCAATCGATACGTCGGGTTTTCCGCCGTAACTTGGCTGAAATATACGCGTTTCGACGTTATTGTACTCGGGTTTTTATTCGTATTTTAAGCCGACGGGGGAATGGGCGATATAACCCCTAATCTCCCGCCCACGCGCGCACGCCACTGTTCACAGTTATCGGGGTAGGTAAGACCTGGTAAAACGGTGTTGCATTATCGGCGGCATATCGCCGAGATGCCGCGATCGATCAGCGTGATCCGTCAATCCGTCTGGATGTACGTGCCTACACCGGATGCGAAACGCCGAAATGTTTCCCGTTAAAAAACCTAAGTAATTCTAAGCCGACGGTCCCTGAGCCTGCAGCGGGGACGAGAAGGGAAATGCGCGTATTAGACCGTCTCGCCGCGAACAATGGGCACCGGCAATCGGCACGCCACGAATTTAAACGGGAACCGTTCCGCGGGCGGGACGGGAACCGGCATTCGGATACGCCCCGGGGTAGATAGTTTATAATAAATGGACAATGTAATATTATTATTATCATTCGGCAAATTCGGAATCGTTAGTGTATAAAAAGTATACGCGTAAACACGTTTTGTCGTACGCGGTCGGATGCGGTCGCGCGCGGTTCTCGGGCGTTCGATATCGTTCGATATTGTTGTCACGATCGTAATCACCGTCTGCGGCGTGTGGCGGCAGTCGCGGATGATATCGCCGCCGACGAACGCCGATCGTCAGACGGCGTGTTCGTCCTGGCCGAGAACGACGCGACACTTACGTCATACCGAGCTGGGCAGCACGAGCCGGGGGTCGGCGGCGGGCGGACAGTCCAGGGCTTCGAGGGCGGCGATGGGCGTCTGCGGCACCACGTAACCGCCGACGGACGCTTTGAGACGCCTGGTCGGCGGTTCGGGTTTCCGGTGATGCAGACTGGCGGTGGTGGCGTGGTGGTGGTGGTGATGGTGGTGCTGCTGCTGCTGCTGCTGCTGCTGCTGATGTTGCACGTGGTGCTGCAGGTGGTGATGGTCGGCCGGGCCGCCGACCGTCTCCTTGATCGCTGACAGCGCCGCGCCGCCGGCCGCCGATCGGCCGGTCACCTGCAACCGTTTGTTGCCGCCACCGCTGCCGTTGCTGTTGCTGCAGCTGTTATTGGACGCGGCGGCCGTGGTCAGCGCCGTCGTCGTGGTCGTGTACTGCAGTTTCCCGCCGTTGTGCCTGGCCACGCCGGCGATGGTCGCGTACCGTTTGGTGGTCGTGGTCGCGGCCGAACCGCACGTACACGGTTTGGTGGTGTCCACCTCGTAACACGACCCGTTGCCGCCGACCGCCAACGTCTGCCGGTAGTGCTGGTGGTGCCTGCTGTGCGCGGAAGACGGGTGGTGGTTCAACGTGGCGGCGCAGTAGGAGGCGGCCGACTGCAGTCTGGTGGCCGACGGCGGCGGCACGGCGACGGACACGGTCGCGGCAGCGGCATCGTCGCAGCCGATTTTCGGCGGACATATGTCGGGCGGTGTTTTGCTGGCGGTGCCGTTGCAAGCGTCGGCCGTCGCCGGCACGCCCGACGACGGCGCGCCGCCGGCCGTCTGACTGCAGTCGCCGGTGCCGCCGTTCGCGCACGGCGCCTGGTGGTGTCGTCCGGCCGCCGACTGAAGATGATGGTCCGACGACCGAGACGTTATTTCGGTGGCGGCGGCCGCCCCGGAACTGGGACCGCCGTCCGGCGAGTCGGCCCGCGCGTCCGTCGAACAGGCCGACGACCGGTCACCGGCCGCTGACGGTGGCGTGTCCGGTGACGGTTTTCGGTCGACGGCCGTGTACTGGACGTGGTCCTCTAGCCGCCGGAAGTACGCGGTTATGGTGAACACGGCCGACGCTTCGGACGTGAGGAACGCCAGGCTGCACGCCACGAACGACCAGCCGTACCGGTAGTCGTATTCGGACCGGAGTTCGCCGCCGAAACCGTCGTCGTTGTCGTTGGTGTCGTCGTCGCCGCCGTCCACCGACTGATGGACGACCGGTGAGAAGCTGTCGTTGAGTACCGAGGCGAACACGAACAGCCCCGCGGCCAGAATGAGACCTGCGAACAGACGTCACTCACTGTTGTATGCAGAACAAAAAAGTTACAGCTAATAGTATTAAAAAAAAAAAAAATTAAACATTTACTACATAACGGTTTCAACATGTTTGGCAATATACGGCGGGAAGTTGTGTATCTATTTCCGCATACGACGTGCAGTAATTGCGTAAGTGTGCTTCATTCGTGTAACGAAAGTAAGTTTTATTCAAGTGTTATCCGTTCGATTTTTCAATTTTTTTACGATAAAAACATCTTTTAAAGTGTACCATTTCTATTCTTTCATTGGACATTGGGCTAGGAATATATTGGTTTTACAATAGAGATTTTTTTTTTTTTTTTATTTGTGAACAATTTTTCTATCGAAAATCTCGCTCCGATTTTCGAGAGTAGTACCTTTAAGTAAGGAAATGTTATCCACTTGGTAATTTTTCGTAACAATTGCGAAATACCGGGAAAAGCCGTAGAAAAAACGGAAAAATGCACGTGCGCGTATAAAATAAATGTCCCTTTTTATTATCCTACCTTCCCAACTTTTCACCAACAACAGTGGCCTAACCGTCGCGCGTAGTATGTCCGTCTTTTTTTTTTGCTGTATTGTAAAATAAAAATAAAAATTGAAATTATCAATTTGTCCAGTTGTCCCTGTTGGACGCACTGTACAGCGTTCCCTTAAGTATTGCGTGAATATATACAGTGGACGATTTTTAACGTTTTCTCGCCCTCTCTCCCCTTTCCTCGGAAAATAATATGTATTTCAAATAGGTATATTATTTTGAATAGAAGTCAGTTTTTAGATGACATTTTACTGAAATTAAATCGGTGGCTGTAAGGAGAGTTTCCATACCTCATGCTTCCCCCAACTAATTTGCCCACCGGATGTGCGTTTTGATATAATAATTATTATACGTAATTAGTTATTTTTAATGTTTTTTTTATCTTTTTTAACTGGACACAGCAAACGATAGTTATCCGCATTGTTACGTATATATATATATATATATATATATATATATGATAAAAAATTAAACGTCATTTGCATCGTTATATTGTATACAACATTAAATTCTAGAAACTTTTTTTTATTATTCGAACAAAGAGTCGTAGTCGTCACAAAAATCTACGTTCCGAAAAACGTTCAACGCGTTCAACCTCCAGCCGTCGTTCGTGGTCGCAGTATTTTATTATAATAATGCTCTATTATCACTTATCAAAAATGACCTTTGTCGTCCGTTTTTTCGGAGTGAAATACATTATAATATACGGTTTGTATAATACACGTACGATAATATTATTAAAACAGAATATTAATATGCAGACGGTATTTTCGTAATTATAAACTGAAATTTGCCCGCATAGACGACACAAAAAGAGCTTGTTTTGATATTATGTTCTTTCTTTAATCTCGATAGCCCGTATATTATCATTTCCCGTATATTTCGGTCGGTCTAATTACAAATATAATAATATTTTAATTTAACGCATGGCGGTGTCACTGTATAACTTTTAATCCAGCCGCGTAGCAGAGGATCAGTTTATAAGAAGGTTTTATTTACACGTAATAAAGTCTATCGGGCGACCAACAGAGTGAGATTTTGTTCACTATTTGTTCGCCAGAACAAAAATCGTAAACGATTGTGTTAGTCGATTTTTCTCTGTGTGTTGGAATCGGAATACTTCCACGGATTTTTCTTATCCGTCGTAAGATGCGACAAATGGGAACACGTCATGTCGACAGCCAGTGTACAATTTGATCAAACAGTATGAAAAGTCCTAAACAAATACGGTTCAGAATGTTGGGCGGTAGGCAGAAAAAAAAAGAACAGAGAATGAGTGTAGCAGAGATCAGAACGATTTGATGAGTGGAAGGATTGACGAGAAAAATTTGGATAAGGAATGCGTGCATAAGAAGTAGTATCGGTGTTGTTTCGACAGTAGATATAATGAAAAAAAATAGACCCAGATGGTTTGGACATGTCATAAGGAGAGAGAAATTGGAAACAGTAAGAATGGTTATAAAAATAAACGTAGGTGGAAAGTGGAATATCGAATAAAAGGTGATTGGATGCATTTGAAACGATATGATAATGGCCACGGTATTACAGAGATGATATGGAAAATCGAGTCGAGTGAAGTGTAGAACGGTGCTGGCTGATCCCGAAACAAAGGGATGAAGGTAAAGGATAAGAAGAAGAGATTTAATTAGTGGATTGTGTGTAAGATATTATGATATTGGATATTAGGATATATTGTATAAGATATTATCTTTTATGTTTTAGGTAGAAAATAGTCTCAATGCAGGGGGCGTATTAGGATGATAAAAAAGTCAAGGGGAAAGTTTGGTATATCCGCTCATAGAGCTTTTTCTAAGGGAGGGACGAGTGGATGTTCACTAAAAAATACTTTGTGCCGCTATAATACTGGGGGCCTCACGTTTGAATTTTCGACTTTTATTTCGGGGTTTTGTTATTCTCGATTCCTTTGAAGGTTACACTCTACATTGGGCTGAAAAAAAAAAAACAACGAGACGTATACCAAACCTATAACCGGATACCACGGTTCGTTTATGGTTTACGATTATTTTTATCGCGTTGTTTTATAAGAATTAAATTTAGGGGTGGAACGTTCCCGGAGTTTAGTGTTACGCCGCCTACTTCCGTTGCAACGCCGAAATTGCCGGAGAATTGCATTTCGCGAACCATACTGTATTATACGGTCGTTTTGTAATACGCGAAAACCCTTTGATCGCGCGTTCACCCGCAAACAATTTAAGTTCAATAAAAAAAAAAAAAAAAAATAATAATAATAATAATAATAGTCGGTGGCAGTTCGGGGAAAATGTAATTTCGTCGAGAATACTTTGCCGAATATTGAAAACAAACCCGTGTGTATATATATAAATATTATACCGGGCGAAGAAATGAACGAGTATGAACGGTGTTCGATACGATTCAATTTGCGAGGGGAAAAACAGCGGAACACCTACAGCTAGTGCGCGTGCATTATAGCGCGGCATATCATTTTAACATTTTCTTTTTGTTTTCGCGCGGTGTACAATATATCGTTATCCGGTATGTAGTCGACGGGAATTCGTGTATTTTAAAAGGTGAAAACGGCGTTCGCTGTACGGTGTACGCAACAAAAGTCGTCGGTGTTCCGTGCACATTTTTCACGCCACTCCGTCCCCGAAACCTATCCAAGCACCGGCGAACAATAACAACAGTATGGAAACGTGCACGGTGCGTGCGCGTGTATTGTTAGGTGCCGTAAACGCACGAAATGTCTTTTCTGCGGCAATCGCGCTCGAAAAAAAAACGAGTCGAATTTAATAATCGTATTAATTCGTACGGTCCGCCCGCCGCGAGGGGGAAAAAAAAATCGAAACGGTCCGCGTATTTATTTTGTATTCGACATCAGAACACGTACGAATTGATACGTTGAACACGCATACGTGTTGTGCGAAACAAAGTTGAACGCGTAACGCCGATACCTACTGCCCGTAAGCAATGCTTGTGGCTGGATGTAGGGAGTCTTACTTCATTTTGAGAATAAAAATGATATTAATGGTACACGCGTAAACAACGCGATGACATTCAATGCAATATGATAACAAGATAAAACATAATAATTTTTTCCGACGACACATTCAACGTGCATTCGAACAGAGGAAATAAAAACGAAAGATAACAATTAATGTGCTATAAAATTCGGCATTGTAAAAAGGAAAAAAAAAAAAAAATATACAACAAAAACATAGATTCGTAAGACGACAGAGAGAAAAATTGGACATTACCGGTATCGATTTTCGATAAGGAATTATAAAATAAAATACAATAACAATCGGAATAAAGGACCCGAGGGGCTGGTCGGTCTCATCGCGGCTCATCAAAACGCGCTTGATTAAAGTCCACACTCGTGCACCGTCGTCGGCCCGGGAGACGCGGCCGACGCGTCGGACTGGGCAAAGCGCGTGGGGCCGTGAGAACGGCTCTGTCTGGCTGATACGTCTCCGAGGTGACGTGGACCGCAGTCACCCGTACCGTGATCGGCCGGGGCGTATTAGTCAGGTTACGGCGCCAAGCAGCGAAGAAGAATTGTGAAAACAGACGTCTCACTGCACAAAAAAAAAAAAAACCCGCTCGTGTCGACACGTTTCGTCTGTGCAGGCGGCCATTAGGACTGTAGAGCCCGTTCGCGTATTAGGAGACCCCGGAATCAACGCAGATTGGCTTCCGCTCCAGCATACTGCTGCGGTGTTTTCATTGGTAAATTACGAATTTCGCGCAGTTTTCGTTTTTTGCTCGGGCTCCACTACGCCGGCGCCGAGCCTCTATAGGTGCGCCGCAAATGCATTTGTTGTTGCCCAGTTACCGATTCGATGCGGGTCGTCGCAACATTTCGAGGGGTTTTCCGTTAAAAACAATCCGAGCGAGCTGTTATCAATGATTACACCCACGGTCCGGGTGACGGTGATCGGATGATTTGACGTCGGGCTCCGGACAGTTTTGTTGATGGGAACTGGGTCACGTAGATTCAACAGGTCATTGCGGTTGGCGGTAGAACGATGTTGCTGTGATTCGTGATTGATTGAACTGGTAAATATTTCTCACCGGTCGCTGGTTCTTTAAGGTTTTCTGTGTTTTATTTATAGGTGTATTTATTTACTGGGCCTAAAAAGGGCCATTTCGCAAACGTGGGAGTTCAGCATAGATACAAGATCGTATATTTTTTCCGGCATCGCCCACGGAAAATCTCCATTCGTCCAAAGAGATTACGACCGGAAGGTGGAAAAAATAGATACGATGTTTTTCGTTGCGGCAGGCGAATTATTTACAGAGTGATTCTTCCTTTATCGTCGACCAGTCCCCTGAAACTCGAGAAGCTTAAAATAAAGAAGAAACTCAAGGTTTTTCTATAACGGACAATGTATCAAAAACGTAAAGCAAATGAAAATATCTTTAAAAAAAAAAACAACAACAACATATGTTTTACAGATTAAACACCCGTTGTATTATATTTTGTCGGCGTTTTGTTATTCTCTAAATGTTCAACTTATCATCTCTAGCTACAAAAAATATATATTTTTTTTTCACATTTTAGTTTTTAGAGAGAGATAATATACATTATATATTACGAGTATGTGAAATATCACAGCTGAAAAATGTTTACTTGTCACATACAAAAAGGAAATATCGAAAAAAAAAAACCAGACATAGTTGCACACGGATATCATTCTTATATTGAAGTTTGATAAAAGATCAATTCACCCTAATATTAAAACTAACAGCACGAAGTTGTGTCTTCTGAAATAAAATTTGCTATACCGTATGTCGTTTGACGGAGACAAAACTCTTAATGTAATGTTGGTACGTTAGTATACATTTATTTGATTCAAGTTCAATTATTACGTTTTTTATAATTATTTAATTTACAGGCGCTATATTTTATCAAAATCCATTCAACCTTATTTCATATATAACAAATGAATATTTTCGAAATATACAAAGAGCGATTCATTATTATGGACTAGCGATTTTCTCGAAATATTTTAAGTTTATAGTATTTAAGTGAATTTTAATGTTTTTTTTTTTTTTTTTTTGTTTTATCAATAATTATGGAACAATTTAAGATTTTAACAGTGTTTTCAAATTTCTATCCCTATTCTTATTATAGCTCAAATGAATATAGATATTGGCTTTTAAAATAATACCCCCCAACACGGATTCAAATATATTAAACATTTTATATTCAAATTTTGTTTAAAACGACTTCTTGAAAAAAAAATCCTAAGTAAATAATATATTATACGCACTCATTTGAGGTGGAAGGGGAAATAATGCGTTATAACAAGAATGTGCATTAAAATGATTGAAAAAAAAAAAAAAATCAAAACGCAAATCAGATTCACAACAATCCTCCGAGAAAATGGCCATGTTGTGAGTATAGAATCCATCCGTATAGACTGTACAGATTCAAATATTGTCGTGTTCTCTACGGTATACACCGCAATATAAATCCATTTAAAAAAAAACGAACTATTATATTATTTTCTCGTTATAAAATACATGTACGCAATTAAAGAGAAAACTTTCTCGTTACATTTTTTGTTTCACGTACCTACGAATATAATAATAATAAACGAGGGCGAGACTGAAATCGTTCGAAACACTGCTGACGGTTCGCGTTGCTTTTCTCGAGAGACTTGAACATTTTTTCGTTAAGAAAAAAAAAACATTTATTTATGTACTTTCAGAGAACTTATCGGAATATTATAGTAATTACAATTTTTTTAAACGTTTCGTTCGCGTAACAATCGTAACAATAACTTTTCGACTTTTTATTCTTTGTCTAAGAGACAAGGGTACCTATATAAATGTTTATTTTGGTCGTGTCGCGGTCTCGTTTATAATGTAATAATGATGGCGTTTAAATTAAAAAAAAAAAAAACAAAAAAAATCGATTTGTGATGCGCACATCAAAATAATTATTACAGATAAAAACTGTAAGTAAAATGCAATTATCGAGAACTTTTGTTGTTTTCTTTTCATTATATTATACACATATTTTTTTTTAATTTTTAATTATAAAAAACCTCAAAATACAAATTAATCATTATTATTACTTAATAACTTACTGAAAAAAAATTGGAACATATTTAGCTGATCATTAAACGTAAAATATGAAAAAAAAAAAGTCAACACAATAAATGATGTTTAATCATTAGGTAGGATTTTTATTCTTTAATATCTACAATCCATAAGTAAAAAATAAAAATAAAACTTTGCAAACATAAATATTTTGAGTTCAATCAGTATGGATGGTTATTATTATTTTACATTTCTAAGTGTTTCCTAACCTAACATATAACTTTTCTTTTACAATAACAGTATTCCTTTTTTACATGCACTGATCATACCCAGTGTTGATTTAGACCTTCTATCCCCTGGGGGGGGAGGCAATGTAAATTTCGAAGGGGTACGTCAAACGTAGAGCCGCACCTAGGAATTGTCACACCTTTTTAAACAGGAAAATAATTATCGAAAAAATGATAAGTATTTACGGCACGCTGCTGTATTGTTTTTAATTTTTGCAAACTATGTTTTCTACCAGAAATATTGTTCCAATCAAAAAATAATGAATTATAAATTTCATTCTTTTTAATATATATCCATTGCAGGCAGGGTAAGTCGTTTTTTGATATCTTAAATGGGTTTCATAACAATTGGAAAAAAACCGAAAATTACGATTTATAAAACTTCGGCGTAACAATTTCATCAGAGTTTGTAAGATTATATTTTTTTACCAGAATTAATCTTTGTCAAAATTTCAAAAAAAATTTTGTCTAGTTTGTGAGTAAGAAAGTTGTTGTTTGATTTTCCATAAAGTTTTTCTAATTACGAAAAAAACGTATGAAATACGGCAAACTGTACGCCATTTGAGTTTTTTGTTGTTATTTGATTAAAAAATAATTGTGCGACTTGTAGTTTTCACAAAATAATTATATTGGCTTGTTAGGCATCTGTTATTAAAAGTATATGACTTAAAAGAAAAGCTTGACAAACTTAACACAAGGGACATTATAAGTTGTACTTTGTGGTCTGAAAAATAAATTTAAGTTTTTTTTGTCATAAGCGTTTTAATATAAAATTTTAACGAAAATCGTAAATAATACGGTCTTTTAAAACATGTGTAACCGAACTTCGCTCCAAATCGTTTTTCGTTGGAAATATTTTGCCGTTGCTTACAGATATAAATTAAATAACTTTATGTATTCTACTTTCCCAACTTCCCACTTACAACAGTGCACACCCGTCGCTAGTATCAGTTTTTTTTAAATTTCATTTAAACAAAATGACTCATAATCGGCCCAAAATTCATTTCACATATTACAGCACATGTAGTTTACGTAGGTAGTCATGTCATACATTTTCAAGGGTCGGCATATATTTTTATGTGACGGGGAGAAAGGGGGGTTATACTTCCCGGTCACCCTCTGAAATGAACACTGCACAGGCCAAACCAGTATCAGCCATTCGCTGTTCTGAAAAAATGCTTAAAATAAGATCCGACACTTGTGTTAATAATTATGTTAATAAAATTAATAAAATTATGCAGACGTACAGTTTGCAACGGCACCGCAGTGTAATAAAAAATTACCATTGCGAATCCGACGAGCTATGGTATTTTCAAAACGGAAGTTTATTTTGCCGATCAAACTTCGACCGCGAGAACAAATATTATGATATACAACGACCGCAATACCATTTACACGATCGCGTTTATAACTATAATTAAATACCATCGGGTTAATGTTTGCCATCCCGTACATCGAGATGCGTTGCCGTGCGGTATATAAGTAAACAATAATTTAAGTTTTCCACATTTTTTTTTTTTTTTTTCCCCCTAAGAGGAAGCAGCTATACCGGCGTTAATTTACTGTCTTGGTCTAACTATACGGACGGCGGCTACACCGGACAAATTGTACGCTACTCAAAACGTATAAACTGCGGAGACGTGTCGATTGGAATTACAGTTTAAGCCCACGTAACGTTATTTTTAAATAACAGATAAATAATAGCTACGTAAACGTTGCTGTTTTTCTAAATAGTCGTCGAAACAAAACGGTTACAGCGCAATGTAAACTTTCGGCTTTTCCGAAAATATTTTAGAAAAACAGCAACTGTCCTCGCTGCTCTTTAAAAAAATGTCACGATTTACGTTTAAACTACTCTAGTTAACCATTCTGAACGCCATAATCTATGTTTTAAGAGTGACGCGATTTTACTATGTTTCCCGTCTTGGGCGGTGAATGCCGAGTATAGCATCCTCTTGAGGCCGAATATTTGTTTGTACACGATTTACTTTGTCAGTCGACATTTTACACAGCAATACGAAATAAAAATTCAGTGGCGCTATTTGGCAACTATATCATTACGACCGCATTCTTCGGCACTTATTCGACTATTATAGTCCTCTAGTCATAGCGTTTCTAACAACGAAGTTCTGTGGATTTTTTTTTGTACAGAGACCGCAAAATGTGAATAAAATTGATTAGGTATAGGTCCCTAATTGATTTAAACGTTATGATAAAATAAATTTTATCACATGATTAAAATATTATACACTTTTGTACTTAAAAGAAAAATAATATTTGAAAAAAGAAAAAAAGTTATACTTATTATTTATTGGCAAACAGATAATGTGAAACGTATCACTTTTTTGTTATAAATTATAATAAAATTATATTTGTTGTCGAAATTTTTTCAAAAATAGAGACTGTTGTATTAAAATAGAACTGTATAGACTGCATTGTGTTTGTAACATTTATCTTTTTCCCTCTAAATTTGAATACTTTCTGTGGCTTCCTTATTCGGATCAAATGCGCTCAAACTCAGGAATTAGCTATTGTTTTATAGATTGACTGAAGTGATAATAATGCAATTGAATTTCAATATGACTTTCACCATTTTATCAATATTGTTGCCGGAAGTGGTTTTTTTTGCCTTTGAACACCCCAATAATACTTCCCAACTATGAAACCAGGGGGGTGATATTTTGTAAGCGCATGTTGTTAGTATTACAATGGGGATTTAGACTTTTAACCACAACCTTTTTAACATTTTTGTGCTAAAATGTTATCATTTTAAATTCTGAGTGGAGCGAAGAAGTGTATGGTTTTACAATACAAAGATGTTTATTTATGTTTTTTTTTATCTGTGCACAACTTTTCTACTCAGAAAACTTGCTCGGATTTCTACGTGTAGCACTTTTTCCGGAAGGAAATTTGCGCGGGGAGGTATTTTAGAAAGGTCATTTTTCGATTTTCCCAAGAGTTTTTCCAGCAAATGTGAAAATTTGGGATAAGACATGAGAAAACCTGGAAAAACGTAGGAAAACTGGGAAAATCGGTACAACATTAAACATACATTTTTAAAGAAAATATATAAAGCCTATTTAATTATTTTACTATAAAATTATATTTATACATATATTGTTGACAAAGCATAATTATCAACTGAACTCCGCTCAGAATCGTTTTTTCGTAAGTAATGGTTTATTGTTGTTTACAGGTATACATTAAATTATCTATAACTGTGGCTGCACCCGTCCTCATTTCCTAGGATGTCTTTTTTTATATTTTGAAGTAGCATAATTATGTAAAATACGAGGTTTTCGTTCTTAATAATTATACAAAGAATATTTCTATAATATAAAATATGTGGCGGAGGAAATTCGGTTCTAGTTACGGAGTTCTGCTTCTGTGTTTTTATTATCATGTTGAGGAGACGAATATAATTATTACTACGATGTTGTTAATAACTGTTAATAATAACAATTGTTACTTTATGATAATCGTTGCAGTAAATTCTGTAGGCATTTGATCACCGTTAATAAAGTGAAAAAAGATATAATATTTCTTCAAAGTTCGTAGATTTGATCATTTAAAATTGTGATTGTTATCCCGCGTGATAAGTTTTTTCAGTGGCCGGATAACAAGAGTGTTTAAAAAATAAAACAAAATGGTTAATGTTATATAATAATAATATTTTACAATATATTAAAATAATCTTCTAAACTGCGAGTAAGTCGCGTTTTAATCTCATAAATTATTCATTTTATACATTGTTATACTGCGGTAAAACTTTACGCAGACTTAAATATTAAAAACTTAAACTCGTAAACAAAAAAAAAAAAAAAATATTTATATGATACATATTTTAATATATTGAATATTTAATACCTGTAAAATAAACGATCAAGGTTACACAGCATAATTACCAGTTCCATCACAAAAATATCTTAAACAGTGTTGCCACCTTAATACGGCACATATTAATTCAAAATGTTAATTACGCGCGTCGTTCACACAGAAACGTTCTTGTAATTACCGTGGCGAAGTGGGAATCATCTGTGTGGGAGACCGTGGAGTGCATAAATACGCCATACGCATCACTCAAAAAGTCATTTCTAACAGTCTGTCTGACAGTCTGACCGTCTTCGAGTTAGTTGTCACTTCTTTGGGTTCACCCAGCAGTAGCAGACATTTTTTGCTCACTCACTCCAACCATACCTTTTTTTTCCAAACTTATACAGTAGTTGAACCGAGGGCGGGCTATTGTATTTGGTTCTCCCTATCCTATATACCTGGTAATTGTGATTGTTGTCACTATTGTTTTACTTTAGATTGTGTTTATTTCTAAAAAAAAAAAAAGCATATATAATATTCCGGTACGTAGACGGCTACACAAATTCTGAAAAACGGTTGTCTATACGCCTAGAAAAGGGGAGGGGTGTAAAATATACAATTCTCACTAACACTAGCATTGTCTATACACCTGGTTGTCGCGTTGTGAGCCGAAGGCAAAAAAGAGTATTCACACGTCTATATTGGATACCTAACCAGGTGTTAAACATTGCAACGATTCATCGATACCTATACCCCTTATACACTGCACCATTGGCGTGTTGGCCGTGATTTTGAGGGGCAATCGCCCGATAATTTTAAGTGGTGGGTGGGTGGGTGCCTGGTGGTTGAGTACTGGAGTCTGTGGAGAAATTGTAGTACAAGATTAACTTCATCAGAATATGTCATATGATATTAAATAAGAATAATAAAATTAATAATAAGTATTCTAGGAAAAGCCATCAGCCCAGAATACTGTATATTTATTCATGAATAATGATAATGATCAATGCCTAAGAGTCGAGGGGTGGTGGTAGGTCATTAAAAAAAAAATGAATTGCCCGATAAAGTATTTCACTTCGCCACGCCACTGTACTGCACCTATTGCTCCTAATATTTTGAGCAACGAACTTCTTGCGAAATTCAAGCAGAAAATTTAAGGTAAGAGTAATTTTTACATATTTTCGTAGTAGAATATTAATAAGAGTAAAATAGGCAGAGGAGAAATGTAACTTCTTACGATAGGCAATAGCCATCGTCAATAAATATAACAGGTACGTGTTTTTATCGACACAATATTGGTGTACGTACAAAGTATATTACATTACAATCCGAACGACCGCGCACACACGCACACACACACTATACCAATTTTGTTAACACATCACGCTGCGAGTCTATTGAAGGTCTTATCCGACCGATTGCGCGTTGTCACAACACTACCGTCAATCACCCTATCGATAGATAGATCGCCACGCGTTCACGTCATACATACGAATATGAATATACCAATACCTATTACCCTTTTACTACCCCATACTTTTTCCTACCCCTTTCCTTCCTCTCCTCTTTCTCCTTTCCACCTATTACCTCCCACTTTCTTAAATCCTATTTTTATTCAACTACAATACATATATACATATTAGCAAACGAAAAAATATTGTATGATTTTATGTTGATCCAATAACATAATAAATAATTAATTTTTTAAATTTTTCAAACAGTTTTAAAAACGCGGAAAAAACGGGAAAATTTACGAAAATAATGTTTTTAGTATTTTCAATTTTGTTTTATTTTTGTAACTTTAAATTTTTCAAACTTCTGCTATTTTACTTCTTAATTAGTACTACGGATTTGTTTTGTTGCACATCATGATTTTTGTCTAAACACGAAATGGTTATAATCACGAAAAATAACGATTAATCGTACTTTTATTTGTTAAATAGTTTTTTTCAACGGTATAACATACATAATTTTTTGTATAATCGATTCATATATTATAACTTAATCGCGTATACCGAAGTAATTTTTGAAACTTTTCAAACATACTTTTAATAACTTTACTATATTATATTATAATACTCAGCTAACGACCTAAACATCGTACAAACCGGCTGCATATATAATTAATTTTGTTATTACTTTACCCGAAATAATGGTAACAAAAGTTTTGCGGGGTTATAATTTTTATCAGATTACCGCTTGGGTGTACCTACGTAAAATCCGTCGAAACAGGGTATGCCTTGGGGTCTGTAACGTTAGAACGGATCCTATAAATAGTTCCTATCGACATCGTTATAATATATTATTACCTGTGTATATTGTATTATTCCTTGTATCATTGATAATATTTTGTGTTCCATAGGACAAGTCACGAATAGTGTGCGCACGGAAGGAATGCTAGGGATCATATCCTCCAATTGGCTTTTTGATAAAAGAACTTATGAGTATTTATTTAGTAATTTAATAATAAAATGCATGTATGTATTTTAGCCAAGTTTCACGGAAGAACTCGACTTATTGATTAAAAATTGTTAATTTTTGGACTCGGCTTTTAAATTCTTATTGTTGAGTTGGGTAAAGAAGAGGATTTTACGATTTAATTATGATTGATGTTTGGCACATCCAACCCACTGAAAATTCCTGGGTATGTCGTCATAATAATAATATTATCTTAGAAAACCATCTGCCCAAAACATCACGAAACGCAAACATAACAAAACATTGTCTAATTTCCGTTGAGTGATTTCCGTCGTCAGTGACTATATTTTTCTAATAATTTTTTGTTTTAATAAAATCTTAGTTTATACTCCACATACAACGATGAATCATAGTAATCAAAAACGATTCTGAGCGAAGTTCAGTAAAAACATTTTTTTGATAGGTTTATTTAAAATGAAACTTGTATTAATTTCTACAACTACGAAATAAATTACAATTATTGTTTGCATTTTTGTCATGAAAATTTGAACTTTAAAATCTTAACAACGACGTCTAATAGGCTAAGTTTTTTTTGAGGACAATCTAAGATGCACTTTTATCCTATCGAATCGTTTAGCATCATTTTTACCAGGGTAAACAAATTTAGTTTAAATATAAAATCAATAAAAAAACAACTCAAAATTACAAATAGATAAAAATAACTAAAAACGCTATTTTGAAAATCATACTATTTCTATAGAATTTGCTTCAGTGACGCATTTAAGGAGAGGTGGTCATAGGGAGAGTTTAGACCCCTGCTCTTCGAAGTACAACCAAGGTATTTATTGATATTTATAGGTAGGTATATGTGTATATGTGAATTAAATCACCTCTCCTCGCAATATAAGCACTCAAGTGCGCCATTGACATACTAATGTAATTATTATTGAATAATGATGCATCAATATTCTCTTAGGGTTTTTCCCTAATGGTAGAGAAAAGTACAAAGGGGATTAAAAAATCAATTTCTCCATGAAATGCATCGCCTACACAAAATCTTAATCAAACATAACCCGCGTTTGTTAGAAGATGATGATTGTGGAAAGTCTTCTGGTGGTTGAAAACTTGTTCGTGGACAGACAAAATAAAAATCATGTAGCGTATAGTATAAAACTGAGCATATAATATAATAATATTACATTTCTCGGTTCTAAGAGTTTTAAAGACATCTCGTATATCCGTCCGCCGAAAAAAAAAACATTATCGATATCGAATATTATTAGGTTAGGTTATATGTTTATCCTGCAACAAATATTATATTTTATATCCGTCATTTAACCCTCTGTATCGCATATAATATAATATTATTATGTCCCAATATCGTATGTACGTATATACAGTATAACTGTGTTCGCATCCGGAGACATCATCGTATAACATAAAAAATGTCGTAAACCGTCTTATAAATATTAGTAAGTCGGTGGACGGTTTTAGTCGTATTGATTTTCACGAGAGTTTTGTTTTTGGCGATAATAGAAGTAGGTATATATAGGTAGATACAGTAAAAACCTATCGTAAATTTTGCAAACGATCAGTTGAAAAAAAAAAAAACAAAACGAATCGAATCGATTTCAATAAAATATTTTTTACACGATTAAAAATACTCGTTACACACATCATCGAACAATACCTATATATATATATATATATAGACATATTATAAAATATAAATATTGCAGGGTTTTTTTTTTTTATGTGTATATGAGAGGTTTCAGCGTGTGCTCATACAAAACGAAAATATTTTCTTGCACGTGTAGTTGTGTTCTAAATACAATAAATATTATTCACAATGCTTCTTGTGTATTGATTTTAATATATAAATGACATAATGTAACCGTACATTTGTACAAAAGAACCCAACGAAAACCTAACCAGTGTTCGAATTGAGGGGAGGGGGAGACGCGGGGTACTGAATACCTCAACTAATTTTTAAGAAATCTTAGCGTACCTCTATTATTTTTTTCAAGATATTATTCGAAAATATCAAGGTGATATATGTTTTTTCATTTTTGAGAATGCATGAAAAACTAGATAATAGACTTGTAAATTTATTTGTAAAGTTGTTTAAAATTCTAGCAAACAATATGCGTTCTAGGCTTTTTACTTTTCAAGCATCACATTCAACAATTAAAAGTAATATATATAAAGACAAATATGATGAGCTTCTCCAAGTTCTGGATGTGCTGAAAATACAAAATTTGCCTGATAAATATGATATCCAATATGGTGACAAGAGTGTAAGAAGGTTGGCTATGAAATTTGAAGTTGATGAAACATCGATTGTTCGGAGTTTTTGTGCGTTTGAAGACTCAAAAAATAAATAATTAGTTTACGATTTAAAACCATTAATAGTTGCAATAAATACTAAAAAAATTTTATCTTTTGAACGCGAGAGAAGTTTTAGTGCCATGAATAATGTTGTCATAAGGAAAAGAAACGCATTAACCCCGCAGTATATCTCTTCATTATTATTTATGCAATGTGTTGGTTTCCCCACTAATAGTTTCATGCCAAGTAACTATGTAAAATCTTGGATAATTAGTGGTAAAAGAGATGCAGAAAAAACTTGTTGTCCAAAAAGAATTAAAATAAAAGATGAAAAACAGCATACTTACAATAATTTATGGAACTATTTAAATAAATGTATATTTTTTTATCTATTCATTTCTTTTTAGTCCCTTGAAATTCGGAATAAAGTAGAAATCACCATTATTAATGAAAGAAAGTGTAAGGGGGTGTAGGGGGGCATAGCCCGATAGCCTCCCACGTTACAATGAGGTATAAAAAGTAACTGGGACGCTTATTTTGGGTCAATAAACAGAGTTTCCCTTCTAAAATTTTCACAATTCTAGTATTGACCCTAACCGTGAAAAAAGGACCATGTCCCAGACCTACTCCCAAAAAATTCAGCCTCTCAAAGTAATTCTATTTAGATTTTGGTCAATTTTCTTCTTTCTTTAATCCATAACCTCACTGCACTCATACTACCACGAGGAATTCTGCTCTTTTGTTTTTATTGCTGAACACTTGGCTAGTTTATGATTTGGACACATAACAGATTGCAGGCCCACAATGTAGATACCAAAACTTTGATAGGCTGACTTTTTTAAGAGGGGTCTGGAACATTTTTATTTTCTTCTGAGTTCTCTCATTCCTATCATCCACTTAACTCCTATGTGAACAATGATGTTTTATACCTCATTCAGAAACCAGTCAAGTCTTAAACAATACAAATAAAAGAACAGTGTTGCTCATGAAAGAAAGAGAAGTAATGATATGGGTTAAAAATAAACAGTGTTCCCGCGGACAGGAAAATTCGTGCACGTAAACCTGATAACAAGAATATACAAAATATGTTCGAAAATAATTCAATTATTGCGAAATATTTGTTTATATTATTCAACAAATATGTCACTTATTTTTAAATTTAATGCGATATTTTGATACCAATAATCTATACACTATGTATTATTTATTACGCAAAATATTATACACTTGTAAAATAAAAATAGATTAATGCGTGACAATATTTTGTCGGCGAATATTTCATAGTAATTTATTCCTTAAATAAAAGATAATTAAATACATTTTCTACACTTTTTTTTATAAAACTAACAATAATATTACTGCGAGTAATGCTTTTTTAAAATTTAAAAATACATTTAAACGAATTGAAATAAAATAATAACACTCAAATAAAAAACAATTGTTTTTTATCTTGGAAATTGTATGTTGGAAATGTATTAAAAAAAAAAAAAAAAAACTAACTTTAAAACCGTTTTAAATTCTAATTTCAGTATGTTGTACCTATATACATGTAGCATCGTAGTCATTTTAATTATAAAAACTCATGTTGTAAGTTTTATAAATGCAAATAAATAGTTTTGGTTTCTTCAAAAAAAAAAAAAAATTAATTATTAAAAATATTATATTATTATGAGAAGCATTAACTGTATACAAGTTTTTTTTTTTTTGTGCATTATTATTATAGACATTATTTATTATTTAATTATCATGTAGGTATCAAGTGTATCAAGTTCGTTATATTATTATTATCTACCTAACCTAAATTAAAAATAATTATACTATTATAAAGTTGAATTTACGATAAGTATTCTAATTTTTTGTTGCGTGTAAATAAAATATTTTACACGAGAGTTGTGATGATGATGGTAACATCACTTTGTCCACCGTACCTACGGCATTATAATTTATTATTAATTTCAATTTTCAAAGTCATAAAATATAATTTTACGCAATGCTCGTCGTAACGCACGTACAAATATAATATTTTAGTAATACTTCCTCGAAACAAACGAATTAAACTATATTACACAACAGTGGGAAAAACGAAGCGTTTAAAAACCCGAAAAACACAAACCTGGAATTCAGGGTTTTACGGATATCGAAATCTGAACCATGCAATGTACATTCCCGGTTTTTTTTTATAGATACCCGAAAATATTAACCTTATATTAACCAAAATATACCGTGGCCCGTCTATAAACACGAACTTCTGTCTACAAAACGAGAGTCGTGGCAACATACCTAACAAGCTTTAACTGCTAGCTTGTTTTTTAAATTTTCAATAAAAGAAAAAATCTGAATAAAGTTAATCCTTCCGAGTTAAGTGTTAACTGAGTATACCCTCATGGGACACCTGCACACGGTTCGATTGCCGCAGACCTATTAGGAAAAGTATATAGAATACAATGTAAACAATGTGGATGATAATGGTGACAATAATGGCTAGGTGCCGTTCAAAAGACCGTTCCTATAAGGGGAATGAAATTATTTCTTTAAGCTCGTTCGCGTGTTTTGTTTTTTCAAGTTTTTTGTCTTCGGGGTTTTCAATTCTCATAAGGTTCACCTACCCATAAGAGATACACATATATTATATATATATATAACTATTATTTTCTGGATTCAATTACCAATCTGTTTATAGAAAGCCGTTTGATAAAATTTTTTGAGAATCTCTACCTACCCAAAAAATGCTGACCGAAAAATGCCCATTATACAACTAGACTGCAATAAAATAATCACTACTCCTTCGTCAAAAATTTTAAAATAAGAGTTTAAATCCGACGGCGGCACTTCAAATCCCCTCTCATATTTATTTTATATACTGGATTGGTGATTGAAAATCGTTATTTTCTTTTGGCGAAAGCATCAATCCATTACAAATACACTACTGCAGATTTTCCGTATATATATTATACCAAAACATTTATATAACTTAACGCCCATGCCAATTCGCTTGTATAACCACAGCTGTTTCAAAATTGATTTATATTAATGTTTTACGTTTTTAATTTAGAACGTGTTTATGGTAAATACATGAATACTTAGTAAAATTATGATCAAAATAGTTAAAAACACGTTTTATTTCTAGTTGTTAAAATAACACAGTATTTGGTATAGGTAATTCGTCGGAAAGTATATACATTAACTGATATAAGTATCAAAAGACTCAATCAAGACTTAAAAGACTCACTATAAACCAAAGGGATGCGAATAAAAAATAACCAAAATACATTTATATTTTACCGAGTACCCGCAGCTCTTAAAATATGTAAATTAATCTCTTTCAAAGGATCTTAATACATTAAATATGTATTTAGATTTGTAAATTTTGTTAAGAATCGAGAGTATACACCTGTAAATGAATTACAAATGTATAGATTAAAACGTATAAAAAAAAAGGCGTATAGGCTTACACTATTGTAGGTGAATGTTTGGAAATGCAGAATAAACCAGGTAATTTTGTTTGTGTACTATACTCAACGATAAATCATTACGAATGCAAACGATTCTGAACAGAGTAGTATAGGTATGAGTCATGTTTTTACCGTTGTTGCCTTCAAGGTAACATAGAAATCAACAAAAGTCATCAAACCTTTACAATACTTTTTGGCTTTGAATTAATAATTCTCTTATTTTTTATTATAAATATCAACCAACAACAAAAATAACGTAGGTAAGGTATGAACTGCCAAAAATATGAATATAATTTCAAATAAAATATCACCCGACGAAAATTCCACATATTTTAAGGTAATATTTCGTGAACGAATCGGAATGTTCGCATAAAAAAATATGTTTAAAAAAAAAAAAACGTACAAAAGGGACTTTTTGGAAAAATGATTGGAAATGTCGAAAAATCGTTCAAATAACTGTAGTACATTATTCAGCCGCCAATAATAATAATAATAAAACGTTTCAACATATTTTAATATTTCGTCACCGTGGTCAGTGGGCTAATTCGGGTTCTTTACACAAATTATTTAAAATATTAATGCGAAAATCACTGTTTTCCGATGCTTCGGAATCGAGCTCGGCCAGTTCATATAAAGTATTGTGTTATATTTTGGAAGACTCGTTTGCGTTTAATTATTTGTATGTGTTTAACACGGTTTCACGAGGTTACTTAGCATTCTGTAGTACTTACCGGGCGAATTGACGCCTAAATACTCTAATACACGAGCAGTAATCGAAATATAAAACTACCAAGAGAATCCGTGGTAGAACGCCACGGCGCACTATGAGTAACATTCCCTTGGCCGTCCGATCAGTAAATCCAGCACCGAGAGTAAAGTTGTTGCAGATGTTGTATATGATGTAATAATGTTGGCGAAAAGCCGGAGAATTATACCAACCGCAAAGTGTTTTTTCCGAGAAATAACATATCTTTGTAAAACTAACAGCCTCTTTGTGCACCACGTCGCGGTATTTCGAACGGGGGAATAAAAATATTAATAACTATTATTATTTTATCTCGTGATGGTTCATTATTATTTACTTTGCAGTAAAAATTAAATTAAGAAGTTAAAACGCGAGTACCGCGACATTATACATATGACCAAAACCCGACAATTTTGCGTCAACTCATTTTAAAACTTTAACTTATTTATTGTTAAACTTGTGTATAGGGATATAATACACAGATGGTGAAAACGACACAGAAAAATAAAAACCGGCCGGCAATCGGGCCACCGTTTTACCATTCCGTGCCGGTTTTTTTTCGGTTTCTCCCATCAGTAAAGTACAAGGAATACGTGTATATCCAACGATTATTACTTCCTCGATAGGCCCACGAAAAGCAGGCCACACAATAGGTGAGCGTACGCCAGTGTTGTAGGAGTATGCGTAGTTGAAAACTTGGAAAGTTATAGGGATATAGGGTAATTCAGTTTATATATTGGCTTTATTATTAGTTTATATATATATATATACAATTATTAGTTTATATATATATATATATACATGTATTTTCCTCATACTATCGAGATAACCTAGAAATAAAATTAAAAAAATACAGTGG